TATGGTAGGTTATCTTAAGTTCTTGACGCTAGTTTACGTTACATTACCTTACTTTACTTGAACTTATGTTGACTTCTCTATCCTGCCTTATATTACCGTAGGTTATCTTATGTTACTTTTCCTTGTTATCGTATTCTAGTGTACCCTACTCAATCATAACATTATGTCGTCAGTCCGACTTAAAGTGGCTTTTCTGGACTTCTCAGAAAAACTCTCTCTCTCTCTCTCTCTCGGATCTATGATACACATGTGAGTAGACATCACTTATGTATGTGAAAATTATCGCGATGTTATAGCAGAGGAGTACATGATGTTGAATACTGCTCATATAACGACCAAAACTTTTTGAACGGTCGAGAACCAGTCTACCAGATGCAGTTTTATGAGCTCCATTACCAAAAAGATTAATAAGTAGTGCGTGAAGGTTTAAATTAGAATATAAATTAAATTAAAGTAAAATTACCAGAATGTTTTTTGTGAAGCCTATAGAAAACCAGCATCCCGTGATACAGAAACGTTGTCCAATCCCTACGTTTGTTTAGTTTTCCATTCTCTATTGAATGATGTATTTGTGAAGTTTCCAGCACTTACATGAGCCAGTTATTTCAAATTTGAAAAAAGTTAAATTTTCAAAAATTAAAACTTTAATTTAAATTTTTTCTGTAGAAATCAATCTTTTTTAGATCAGGTATGCCCAAAACCACGGTTTTCTTGAAACCCTGCTTCGAAGCCTTTTTATCTACATTACCTTACCTTACCCCACCATATCTTCACGTCTTCGCACTTCTCTCAACTTCTCTACATTACCTTACCTCACCCCACCATATCTTCACGTCTTCGCACTTCTCTCAACTTCTCTACATTACCTTACCTTACCTTACCTTACCTTCCCTTATCTGAAATTCTCTGGACTTCTCTACATTACCTTATCTTACCTGAACAAATTCGAAATTCTCTGAACTTCTCTACAGTACCGTACCTTACCTTACCTTATCTGAAATTCTCTCAACTTTTGTACGTGGTACAGTACCTTACCTTACCCACCATATCTTCACGTCTTCGGAGTTCTCTCAACTTCTCTATATTACCTTACCTTACCTTGCCTTACCTTCCCTTGTTTTACTTGGACGTATATATACGCCCATAGCAGTCAAGGGCTAATAAGACTAAACAGACATACAATCAATACCCAGCGGAGTTCAACTGCTGCGTGATTCTATTCTGTAAGATACATTTTATCAATTTTCAGTTCTATTTAATCCTAATCTAAATGATTTTAGTGACAAACCAAGAATGCGTTCGACGATGGTGTACACTTACTCTGTTCGGGTAAATTGTCATTTTACTAACCGCTGTTATAATGGTTAGTGTTTATGGAAGTTTTGTTAAACAGTTTACATTGAGTTGCAGTAATTTCACTTACTGTCAAATAACACAAGCTCAATTAGCGTTTGCTGTCATATTGATGGCGAATGCATTAACGGACGTCGACATTTATATCAATGTAACATATGCAGCTATATACAAATATATATATGTACAGTCGTAAAGGAATTCCGGTTGAAAACTTGTTGTGTAACTTTGATGATAGAAGTAGTCGAGTGCTCAGCGCTGGTAGCTCTGGGAATTCCGCAATTCCTAGTAATTCCCAGTAATTCCTAATAATCATGATCGATTCCGGTTCAGAAATTCTTGTGTATCTTTAATCATACAAGTAGTCGACTGCTCAGTGCTGCTAGTTCTGGCAGTTGCCGAATTCCTAGTAATTCCCATTAATTCCTAGTACTACCTAGTAGTCCGGTTGATTCCGTCATGAAGGAATTCGCGGAATTCCATTTCAAAAATTTGGTGTGCAGCTTTAATTATACAAGTAGTAGAGTGTTCAGGGTTGGTAGTTGCAGGAATGCCGAAATTGGTAGTAATTCCTGGTACTTCCGGTCAATTCCGTCATGAGGGAATTCCCGGAGTTTCGCTTCGAAGTTTGTTGTGTAAGTTTGATCATACAAGTAGTCTAGTACTCAGTGCTGCTAGTTCTGGCAATTCCAGAATTCCTAGTAATTCCCAGTAATTCCTAGTACTTCCTAGTAATTACGGTGGATTCCCTCGTTAAGGGAATCCTGGAATACCGTTTCAAAATTTCTTCTGTAATTTTGATCATACGAGAGAAATCATAGGATCTTTGATCATAGGAGAGTGCTCAGTGCTAGTAGTTCCGGGAAATCCGGAATTAGTAGTAATTCCTAGTAATTCCGGTTCACAGCGGAATCGACCGGAATTACTAGGAATTACTGAGGATTATTAGGAATTCGGAATTCCCAGAACTAGCAGCACTGAGCACTCCAGTACTTGTATGATCAAAGTTACACAACAAAGTTTGAAGCGAAATGCCGGGAATTCATTCTCGACGGAATCGACCGGAATTGGTATGTATTACTACCAATTTCGGAATTCCCACAACTACCAGCCCTCAACATTCTACTACTTCTATTTTTAAAGCTATACGAGAAATCTCGAAATGGAATTCCGGGAATTCCTTCATGACGGAATCTACCGGAATTACTAGGAATTACCACCAATTCCGGAATTCCCGGAACTACTAGCACTGAGCACTCTCCTATGATCAAAGATCCTATGATTTCTCTCGTATGACCAAAGTTACAGAAGAAATTTTGAAACGGTATTCCCGGATTCCTTTAACAAGGGAATCGACCGTAATTACTAGGAAGTACTAGGAATTACTGGGAATTACTAGGAATTCTGGAATTGCCAGAACTAGCAGCACTGAGCACTCGACTACTTGTATGATTAAAGATATACAAGAATTTCTGAACCGGAATCGACCATAATTATTAGGAATTACTGGGAATTACTAGGAATTCGGAAATTCCCAGAGCTAGCAGCATCGTACATTCGAGTACTTGTACACAAGAATTTCTGAACCGGAATTCAGGATATTCTTTTATAACCGAATCGACCTGGAGTACTAGGAATTACTGGGAATTACTTGGAGTTCCCAGAGCTAGCAGCACTGAACATTGGACTACTTGTATGATTAAAGCTACAGAGGAATTTCTGAACCGGAAGTCCGGGAATTCTTTGACAACTGAGTCGAGCGGAATTACTTGGAATTCCGAAATTCGCCGAGCTGGCAGCACTGAATATTCGAGTACTTGTATGATCAAAGTTACACAACAAACTTTGATGCGGAATTCCGGAAATTCCTTTAGGACGGAACCGGCCGTAATTGCTAGCAAGTGCTTGGAATTCCGGAATTCCTACAACAACCAACCCTAGACATTCTACTACTTGTATGTTTAAAGCTACACAGGAAATTCTGAAATGGAATTCCGGGAATTCCTTCACGATAGAATCGACCGGAATTACTAGGAATGACTGGGAATTTCGGAATTCCCAGAGCTACCAGTACTGAGCACTCGACTACTTGTATGATCAGAGTTACACAACAAACTTTGAAGCGGAATTCCTGGAATTCCTTCACAACGGAATCGTCCGAAATTTTTAGGAATTACTGCGAATGAGTAGGAATTCCGGAATTCCCAGAACTAGCAGCAGTGAGCAATAGACTGATCAAAGTTACACAACAAGTTTTCCACCTGAGTTCCGGGAATTCCTTTAGGACGGAACGGGCCGTAATTGCTAGAAATTCTGGAATTCCTACAGCTACCAGCCCTGAACATTCTACTACTTGTATGATTAAAGCTACGGAAGAATTTCTGAACCGGAATTCCGGGAATTCCTTTTGGACGGCATCGACCGTGATTACTAGCAATTTCGGAATTCCTACAACTACCAGCCCTGAACATTCTAATACTTGTATGGTTAAAGCTACACAACAAAGTTTGAGCCGGAATTCCGGGTTTCGTGCGACGATTGCCAGCATTTCTTGTGTTAACAGGTATCTGAAATAAATAAGCGAATTTTCCATTTTCTATTTCATTTTGTTGGCTTCCTTCCAAAGAACTTGGATTTAGTACGTGAAAAGAAAAATATAAGCAATAGTTACAACAAAAAATAAATTACAATGCAATCGTAATTTAAATGAATTTCTACTGACAACTAAATATGTACATATAACGATTGAAGTTGCTGTTATTCCATCAGAAACTGCAGATTTAGACAATCGAAATATCAAAAAACTGGCTTGAATTTGTCCCATTGAGGATCCTAGAAGTTTTAATCGTAAATTTATTTTTACTTAATCAATATTTACTTACTATTTTTTCTTATATACTAACTTTGTTTCTTGCTACATCGGATCCAAAAGGATTGATTTTTTTTACAATACAATTGCGCCCGTGCATGAGAAAATAGAGCATCAAAGTTGAACGTTCGTCGTTCATTCTGTTGAATTGATTGACGTACTTCTTTAACACCGAGTTTGCTTGTTCGCATGATTGAGTGTTGTTAGCTTGCACAACTGGATTCGTAGTTAGGAAAATAATATAATTAGGTTATTCCTCATCATGATGAGGTTGATTACCTATGTTTCCATTCGTTTTCGGAATTACCACACTTAAAGAAATTGATCCTGGGAGTCATAAGAACTCCGATGTCACACCTGAACCAGGACAAATTAAGAGTTTGTTTAGTTCCTGTTTTGGAGAGAATACTTTGGACTATATAAATATGGAAAAAAACTGGTAGATTGCTATGTTAGTATCCGGGGATCCAAACTGGTTTTCTAAAGACCTCCTAGAAAACCGAGAAGGGGACGGGGAGGACGGCGGCCTTCAGTTCATTGTGGTTGTTGAAATTGTCTAGTCATTAACTTTCTATTTGGTAATTTCAGTACGAAAAGTAGGCTTAATGAGTGAATTAATAATGTAATGAATTTCTTATGGATATGTGTAACAGTCTTAATATAATAAATGAGAAATATTCTTACTTGTAGGGACATAGATATTTACGGCACCATACATCTTTATGATTCGGCCAGTGAAGTTTGTCAATGGCAAAGTGACAATTAATAAGCTAGTTAGATGATGATGTCTTGTGGATGGTATAGCCATAATAATCAATAAGAAACTTGACCATATGACAACAATCATCATATATGAGGAAATCATCATACTTGAGGAAGAGGTGTGTCAGCTACTTCGTTTGGTTGAGCTGAATTAATGTTTGTACTTGGAAAAAAGTGAAAAATATAATCTACAAACAAGTTTAACTTGTTTGGTAAAAGAATTTATTAAAAATATCAATTCAATCAAAACGTTTAAGTTGTCAATTGATACTCTATATTTTTTCGTTGGTTATGACAATTTTATTAAACTAATTAACATATTAGAATTAAAAGTGATCAAATCGAAATCAATTAAATTCCATATAGATAAACTAACTGCTGTATTCTATTTATTATCAAGTGTCAATGATTTTAATAGAGCATTACAATTATTAGAAAATTTTAATATTAATAATTGGCTTCTATATTTAAATATAAACAAAATTCAATATGATTTAAACATATTATTTCATCAATATTTAGATGAATTCAATGTAAATGATTTGAAAATTGAAAATTGAAATAATTTAGATGAATTTATTGAATCAAAATTTTATGAAATTGAAATTAAATATGATAATTCATTGAAGAAAATTTCAAATATATTAAAAATAATTGAATTAAATAGAAATATGGAATCAAATGAAAAAGAAATATTTTTTCATTTTTTAAAATCAAGATTATCTTTTGAATTAAAAAAAGAAGGAAATTATTTAATTAGTTTAAATGATTTAGAAACAATATTTAATAAATATCTGATAGAATCAGTTATTTTGGATAAAGTGATCGACTCTTTAAAAAAATGAATCATCGAATATAAATGATAATGATGAAAGATATCGGAAAAAAAATGATTAATCAATTATAGAAAAAATTAGTTCAAAATCATTTTATAGTTTGTTACCTTATTTAACAAGATTTTGGATTATTGAACAATTAGAATTAAATCAAAAAACTTTAGAAAATGAACGAACTAAAATACTTGAATATTTAGAGTTAATAAAAACATCATATTCCGAAGGTAAAATGTTTCAATTGATTGACTTCATTAAAATATCATGCAAAGATAAAAGATTAATTCTTCAAACTATTATTGATTTATTGATGAATATTGCACACAATGAATGGATTTTAAATAATGATACACTCAACATAATTAAAACGAAAAAAAATCAATGAATGGGAAAAAGAAATCGAAAATTATATGAAAGAAAAAATATGTATAAAAAGAGATGTTCAAGAACTAATTAACTTAATGAAAGAAGGTAAAAATAATTTAAATAATTCAATTAAAGATTATTTAAACAATAGAAATATTCTAAATGATTTACAAGTATTAATTGATAATCGAAATATATCAGTAGATGCAAATATATCTCCTAAACCTGTGAAAGAATGGACTAAAGAAGATATTCAAAATTGGTCAAAAAATGTCAAAGGTAATAAATTATTATTTGATAAAAAAACAAGTTCAAAATGCAATTGTTGTTGTTAGTCGAGCTATTTATTTATTTACTAAAAAAAGCTCAAACGGACAGAAAACGGTATTTTATCCGAGAGATACTCAAATACTTGCATTATGGTTATTTTTAAATTCGGATTTAAATAAAACAAATATTGGATGTTTAGTACAAATATCAACTGGTGAAGGTAAATCAATTATAGTTGCTGCATTAGCTAATTGATCAACCACACATGAGGACTTTCCGATAGAAAAAAGCGTCTCCATCGAGATATAAAAGTTATCTGAACCGTTGTCACACTCCGGTATATCGCGATAAATGTTATAGCGTTATATACGCTGATAGCTCTTGTATGGAGATATCTGATTATATCAATGACCCACCGATGCATCTAAATAAAACGTAACTCATCCGCACATCGAAGCGTGACAAAGAATCCGATAATTTTCTACTGCGATAGTACCTGCCGAATAAAACATGGTTTCGAGATATTTTCTACTTTTATCTCGTTACACAAAAGTCCGAATACTCTGAACTAGTTCTTTCTTTATTTTTATTTAAAGCATTTCAACTTCGAGTTAATGGTTATTAAAGTGAAAGAGACGAAAATTTTGAATTATTATAATAATTAAACATGAAAAAGATCTGTGTACGTTTTTGGAGAAAAACGCACGACACAGGGGCCTGGCTTTGGTCAAGGAAGATGAATGTAGCGTGCGCTCCCAATTCCATGTTGGCATTCTGAAATTTTTCGAGGGTTATTGGTTGGTTCTGTTTAGAACACGATATTATACATTATCATAGTCAACTTAGCATACAAACAGCGAATCTGCAGAGAAGTTCTTTTCTTTTTTATCTTCGTTTCAACATAGATTAGAAGGTCATTATAGCGGTTAAGATATATCAGATAGTTAGTGAGTTATGAAATGTGTTGTTACTTTTCGTTATTATGTCGTACGTTTTTGTGGTAGAGTACGGGAAATTAATTTATTCGACGAAATATTATATCACAAGGTTTATTGACAAAGAACGTATGTAAGCCTACAACACTTAAGCTACATTTTGATTATATGAATCATTAGTATTCACTATGTCTTGTTACATTTTGAAAGATAATGTTTTGAGAATAAAACAAATATGTATTTTAATCTTTTTCTATGTGTCAACAAACATTGTGATATTATTTCATTAAAATTGAGTTGTTTCATGCATTGTGTACTGTACCCGGTATCATAATAACGAAAAGAACTTTTGTTATAGGATATTTACATGGGACTTCGACCACTTTATCTACAACCTTTTCAGTAAAACGCTGAGGTCCATCTGTAATAAAAGCCCATTAAATTCTGATCAAAAATATTACCTTGAAAATATTCAGAATGCCAGCACAGAGTTGGAAGCGCAGGCAACATTTATCATTTTTGACGGAAGTGGACCCCTGTGTTAATGCGTTTTCCTCCAGAAGTATCCATACTGGAGAGCTGATATTTTTAGCAAATTTTGAATCGCTATTTATTTTGTTTAAACTTCACTTACTGTTCACAGTGGGGGAGAGATTTTCGGATACCTTAACTGGTCAACCACTCTCTCTAGTAAAATTTACCTGAGAATACTTCGTTTAATGGATACAGAGACTCAGTTCTTCTAGCTCTACATTGGTTGCACCGCTAGTATTCTGGTTGTTGCCGAATTATAAATTATATTTGAACAGCATACGAAGTACTTGACTTTCATAACGATGAATGTTAGGCAAGGTAAAAAAAAGGCTTTTTCTGTTGGATTTCAGTTATGCTAAGCGGTGTTATGCAGCTTTAATTTCAATAATTTTCAATTGCTCATTCAGTGAATTAGCAATTGAAAATTATGGAGACGGATCATTATATTTGCTACATCAAACAGACCTTTTCTCTGTTTCTCTCATGCACAGAACAATAATGAGCTAAAAAACAACAGCAGTATATTAACTCAACATTGACTATAGGTGCCTAACTAACATAAGTTTTACCGTGTAGAATGGGCTAAAAAAAGTACACTCTGTTAAGGCCCACCCTCCACCCAAAAAAGGTCGACTTGCGTCAAAATTTTCGACGTTTTGTTTGATAGTGCATGTGATAGAGCATCACTTGCGCTATCGAATGCACTATAATTTATTCTGTTTACGATGGGTTTTAACGGTTTTACAGAGATTTTTTTGAAAACCTTTGCTCAAGAAAAACGACATTCTTTCCAAGAATTCAATCTTTTTTTCGTTTTTCTCAAAATGAGGTTATTTTACTTTTACGTTTTCGTGCATCCCAGATTTCTCCGCCATTTTGAAAGCTAGAAAGCTCGGGTTTGTTTTAAATCATAGCTAAAGTCTGACACTACAACTTAACAGAGCGCGATTCTTCGGTTTCAGAATTGACCACAGATGAAGAGAAAATGTTTGAGATCCTACACCCCAGTAATTTCATATCGTG